TAAGTTTGGCTCTGTCATCGTCCTCATCATTATGAAACTGCTGCTTGTTCCGTAAGCTGTAACGTTTGCATCATGGATGGCTGTTGTGAGTATTAATATCAAACCAAACTAAAGTGAATTCTTGGTCCATTTGCTATGGCCCTGAAACAAAGCACGTGATAACTGACTTCGTAATGAGACGGTGATGAGAGGCGGTGGAGACCTCCGGGGTCTCTCTCTGGAGCAGGGGCTGTGGCCAGTGTGCATGAGCGGGGGGAAGCCGTGCCCCGAGTGAACCTGCTAACGTGTCACTGCTTTGCCTCTTCAGGGGGTCTCGTCCAACCTTTTCTTCATAGAACACACCTTTCCGGAACAGGAGATCCAAGAGGGCAAAAGCCATCAGAACCAGCACGAGGCTCACTTTGTGGTGGAGCTGTGCAAGTACTTCCTGTGCCAGGAGTACCTGCCTTCCCAGATCACCATCCTCACCACCTACACCGGGCAGCTCTTCTGCCTGCGCAAGCTCATGCCCACCAAGACGTTCGCTGGGGTCAGGGTCCACGTCGTGGACAAGTACCAAGGGGAGGAGAATGACATCGTGCTCCTCTCTCTGGTGCGCAGCAACCAGGAGGGCAAGGTGGGCTTCCTGCAGATAGCCAACCGCATCTGTGTGGCCCTGTCGCGCGCCAAGAAGGGCATGTACTGTATCGGAAACATGCAGATGCTGGCCAAGGTGCCCCTGTGGAGCAGGATCATCCACACCCTCCGAGAGAACAACCAGATAGGCCCCGCCCTCCGGCTTTGCTGCCAGAACCATCCTGAGACCCACACGTCAGTGTCCAAAGCTTCCGACTTCCAGAAAGTGCCCGAAGGGGGCTGCAGCCTGCCCTGCGAGTTCCGGCTGGACTGTGGGCACGTGTGCACCCGCGCCTGCCACCCCTACGACTCCGCGCACAAGGAGTTCCAGTGCATGAAGCCGTGCCAGAAGGTGCTTTGCCAGGACGGGCACCGGTGCCCCCTCGTGTGCTTCCAGGAGTGTCAGCCTTGCCAGGTGAAGGTGCCTAAAACCATCTCCCGCTGTGGCCACCAGCAGATGGTCCCTTGTTCCATGTCGGAGGCCGATTTCTGCTGCCAGGAGCCTTGTCCCAAGGTCCTGAGGTGTGGGCACAGGTGCACCCACTCCTGTGGCGAGGACTGTGTGCGGCTGTGTTCAGAAATGGTCACCGTGAAGCTCAAGTGTGGGCACAGCCAGAAGGAGAAGTGTGGCAACGTGGAGGATATCAAGTATGGCCTGCCGGTCAAGTGCACCAGCAGGTGCAGCACCGTCTTGGACTGTGGGCATCCCTGCCCCGGCTCCTGCCACAGCTGCTGTGAAGGGCGCTTCCACGAACGCTGCCAGCAGCCGTGCAAGCGCCTGCTCATCTGCTCTCACAAGTGCCAGGAGCCGTGCATCGGCGAGTGCCCACCCTGCCAGCGCACGTGCCAGAACCGCTGTGTGCACAGCCAGTGCAAAAAAAAGTGTGGGGAGCTCTGCACCCCCTGCGTGGAGCCGTGTATCTGGCGCTGCCAGCACTACCAGTGCACCAAACTCTGCTCCGAGCCCTGCAACCGACCGCCGTGCTATGTGCCTTGTACTAAGCTGCTGGCTTGTGGCCACCCCTGCATCGGCCTGTGTGGGGAGCCGTGCCCCAAGAAGTGTCGCGTCTGCCACCAGGACGAGGTCACGCAGATCTTCTTCGGCTTTGAGGACGAGCCCGACGCCCGCTTCGTGCAGCTGGAAGACTGCAGCCACTTCTTCGAGGTGCAGGCCCTGGACCGCTACATGAACGAGCAGAAGGAGGACGAGGTCGCCATCAGGCTGAAGGTGTGCCCGGTCTGCCAGGTGCCCATCCGCAAGAACCTGCGGTACGGAGCCAGCATCAAGCAGCGGCTGGAGGAGATCGAGGTGGTCAAGGAAAGGATCCAGGGCTCAGCCAGGGAGATCACAGCCGACCAGCAGCGCCTACAGGCCCTGCTGGCGGGGAAGCACCTCCTGCAGCAGCAGCTTCCGGAAGACTTCCTGATGCTGAGCGAGAAGCTGGCGCAGGAGAGTCTGTCGGTCAGGGACCTGGGCCTTGTGGAGAACTACATCAGCTTCTACGACCGCCTGGCCAGCCTCTGGGATTCCCTGAAGAAAGTGCATGTGTTGGAACGAGACGGAGTGAGGACTCGGCTGGAGCAGGTGCACAGCTGGCTGGCCAGGAAGCGCCTGAGCTTCACCAGCCAGGAGCTGAGGGACCTGCAGAGTGAGATGCAGAGGCTCACGTACCTGCTGAGCCTCCTGAGCAGCTGCAAGATGGCGGAGGGCAGGCTGAAGGGTCAGGTCGCAGAGGAAGTCCACAGGCTCCGGGATGTCCTGGAGAGAACGTCCAAGTTCACCCCGGAGGATGAGGAGCTTGTGCAGAGGAAGATGAAGGCGCTGAAGGCCCACCTGCCCTCCTCTGGCCTGGGCATCTCGGAGGAGGAGCGGGTGCAGATCGTCAGGGCCATGGGCTTGCCTCGGGGCCACTGGTTCAAGTGCCCCAATGGCCACATCTACGTGATTGGCGACTGTGGGGGGGCCATGCAGCGGGCCACTTGTCCTGACTGTAAGGAGGTGATTGGCGGCGTAAACCACACACTGGAACGGAGCAACCAGCTGGCTTCTGAGATGGACGGAGCCCAGCACCCTGCCTGGTCGGACACGGCCAACAACCTGATGAACTTTGAGGAGATCCAGAGAATGGTGTAGGGAGGGGCGCACGGCGGCTGGGCTCAGCTCCAGCGTCCAGTTTTCTACGCTTGTCCTTTAGTCCTGGCACCTGTTTAAGGATCCACTTTTAGGGCTTGCCCACATTTATTTCTAGATTCACCCTGCGCTAGAATAAGCACTTTACCTCCAGAACTGAGAGCAGAAGTAACGGCTCTCCCCTCTTCCTCTCCTGCACCTTAGGGGGGGCCCCCTGGAGCAGGTCCGGGGCTTCCACCCAGGGCTGCCCAGCGGCCACCCAGGGTCCCGCCTCGGTCAGAGCTTCCTTCCATGGTGTTCCTGGGGCGCAGTCTGGGCTCAGCAAAGCTGACGGATTCTAACTGCCAGGCCCCGACTTGCAGACCAACTTTGATCAACTTTGATCCCAACACACAGAGGCCCAGAGGAGTTGTTCATGAACTGCTCATCTCTTCAAGGAGCACAAGAATCCCTCCTGCCGCCGCCTCAGCCGGAGGCCTGTGATCCCACAGGTGTCGCCCACGCCCCGACTCAGTTACATGTTCACCACGCCTGGGGAAACGGGTGCTGCCACAGCTGAGGACTTCAGCAGGCCCAGGCTGAGGCGTGGCCCCCGTACCCTTTCCCGTCACTTGCACTTCGGGATGAGGATGAGGCTCCGTGGCAGTGCTGGGTCCCCCTGGGGCCCTGAGTGGGGTTAAACTCACGAAGGCGTTGAGCCTTTGTCCCAGCGCCTTCTCGCAGCTTCTGCCAGAGCAGGGGTAGCATGCCAGCAGCTTCTGCAGGCCCCACACGTAAGCTGGAAGCCAGCCCCAGGCCTGTCTCCGCGTTCCCGCGGCCCAGTGCTCCTTAGAACACTTAGGCATCTCAGGTCCTTTCTAATGTCGGCAAGAAAAACATCCCTTTCCTACGTATGCATTTCCTATTTGTCTTTACTATGCACTTTAGCCTATAAAGCCAATTAATAAAAACGATGATTCAAAAAACCAGTGGTCCGTGTTCTGACCTCAGCTCCTAAAAACCTATTTGAAAGGCAGACAGAGACGTCTCGTTCGCTGGTTCACTCCTCAGATGCCCACCACACCGGGGCTGGAACTCCACCCAGGTCTCCCCGTGTAGGTGGTAGGGACTGAGCCACTGAGGCATCGCCTCGTGCACATCAGCAGGACGCTGCAATCGGGAGTGCAGGACAGGGCTCAATCCTGGGCACTCCGATGTGGGCGTGCAGGCGTCCCGAGAGGCATCTCAACACCTGGCCCCGTCGGCGAATTCTAGAAGCAGCTAAGGTAGCCTGGCAAGAGGAAGGGGCAGGGCAGGCACTGCCTGCAGTGAGGCTGCGCTTTTGGTTTTGTTCAGCTGCTGTCATTTTTACCCGTGAGAAAAGGGCTGGACAGAAGGATGTACTTCACGAGTCTCCTCCCAGAGAGGCCACCCTGCAGATCATCAGTGCCATGTAAGTGCCTTCGCACGGGCTGCCGACCTCCTGGGCTGGGGGTCGGGGGTCTCTGTAAGCGCTCGCTACCTCCCTGCATCACGCATGGGAGCTGTCACTGCCTGAACTGGACCCCTGGTGGTGACTGGTGAGCGCAGCCTGACGGGTAGCTTTGGGAACACTCCTCAGCGTGGTGAGGTTACTGCACAGATGTTTGGGTTAGAAAGCCAGATGGAATGCTGCTCCTTGAGGCTCCACATGACATGGCCTACAGACGGGTGCCACAGCTCTCCTCTGATGGCTACAGGGACGGTTCAGAACCACCACCACCCAGGAAGAAGCTGGTCGGTGCGAGGCGCGCATTCACGGAGGTGGCCGCTGCTGTGTCCTCCGAGCTCCCATCTCCGCGGCACAGAACCAAGGGTGTGAGCTCAGGTGCACACTGGCTTCAAACCTGAATTCCCAACTGTGCCGCTCTGGGAAATCCACCTCGCCAAGCCTGTTTCCTCATCGGCACAACGAGGCTGCCGGCGCAGTGAGCTGGCTTCAGGCGCTGCTCAGCGCACGATCTCTGGCACTCGCACTCGAGCCCGGGAGAGCAGCTCCGGCCAGCGCGCCCTCACCCCACCCAGCGCCTCCACAAGCATACAGATCACGCATCTCAGCTAGGAGGCCAGGCAGACACTGCCGCGGAGAGAAGACATTTACAGAATTCGCCTTCTTCCCCCTTCCTGAGAAACGCTTTTTCCATTTGGTGCATTGTTACAGGAAAGCCGATCGACAAGGGGGCTTGGCCAACTGGCAGGGGTGCCCAGGAGACGGCTGCACACCTCCACCACGGAAGACTTAAAAAATTACTGATTTATTTTAAAGGGTTATATAGAGAGAAGGACAGAGCTCGTGGCTGCATCAGCCAGAGCTGGGCCAGGCTGAAGCCAGGAGCTTTGCAGGTCTCCCACGTAGGTGCAGAGGCCCAAGCGCTGGGGCCATTTGCTGCTGTTCCCCCAGGCATGTTAACAGAGCTGGATCAGAAGTGGAACGGCTGGGACTTGAACCAGCAGCGCCCATTTGGGATGCCGGCCCAATCCACTAAGCCACAACACCAGTCCTGAGGACACTGGGGGACGCAGACCATGCCAGGGCGACTGCCCCACGAGGTTCTTCAGGCACACGGCTACTTCCTCTTGTACCTGGTAAGAGTTAAGGCCACGAAGATGACGGAGAAGCTCCTTTGCCGTGAGAGGCTCTTCTCCCATCTCAGGCAGAGGCTCTGGGCGGGGCAGGGAGCGAGGGCGGGCCCCCCACCTCACCCCACCCCACCCCACCCCACACCACCCAGCACCTGGATTTAGACTTGAAGGTCCCTCCTCGTCTCTGGTGGGCCAAGCCCAGCCGTTTCCTTTCTTCAAAGGAAGGGCTGTGGGTGGGGGAAGAGAAGACGCTGAAATGGGCAAGCTGCTGGGCCCGGTGACGGCCCCCCGCCCCGGGAGGGGTCATTTGCAGGCCCTGGGTCCTAGGCATTCGTGTGGTTCCACCTGGGGGTCAGGGCCGAGCCACAGAACAAGGCTGCAGAGGGCCTGCCTGCACCCGCTGGGCCTATGACCACAAGGGGGACTCGGGGTGCCCACGCCAACTCCGGACCAGGGCCGGGGGGCAGGAGGATAAGCACGAGGGGATCCTCTGGGGTCTACAAAATGGAGCCCAAGATGTCAGAGTCGTCACGGCCTTGAAAGCCGCTTTCTGAGCCTCAAGGCAACAGGGCTGAGCCCTGCGAGCAGCGGCCGCTCAGCACCGCTCCTTCACCGGCTCCACAGGCGGGCACGCCAGGAAGCGAGGGCCTGGGAACCGGGAGTGGGCAAGGGGAGAGCCCCGCTCCCGCCAGACCAGGGCCCAGGCCCTGAGGAGCCTACCCGGCGCGGTACTGCTTCAGGGCCCTCCTGCTGGTGTTGGTGAGCTCTTCGTCAAACACAGACTTCTTCCTCGGCTCCGGCTTCTGGGCTGCAGGCAGACACACAGACACGACGGCCTAGCGGCGGCCCTGGGCCAGGCACCCAGGCAGCCTCCCGCTCCGCCGCTGTAGTGCCCACGGGCTGCCCTCCCCTCACCCTCCCCCACCCGTGACTCCACGTGGCAGACACGACGGCCTAGCGGCGGCCCCGGGCCAGGCACCCAGGCAGCCTCCCGCTCCGCCGCTGTAGTGCCCACGGGCTGCCCTCCCCTCACCCTCCCCCACCCGTGACTCCACGTGGCAGACACGACGGCCTAGCGGCGGCCCCAGGCCAGGCACCCAGGCAGCCTCCCGCTCCGCCGCTCTAGCGCCCACGGGCTGCCCTCCCCTCACCCTGCCCGACCCGTGACTCCACGTGGCAGACAAGACGGCCTAGCGGCGGCCCCGGCCCAGGCGCCCAGGCAGCCTCCTGCTCCGCTGCTCTAGCACCCCGGGCTGCCCTCCCCTCACCCTCCCCCACCCGTGACTCCACGCGGCAGACACGCAGACACGACGGCCTAGCGGCGGCCCCAGGCCAGACGCCCAGGCAGCCTCCCGCTCCGCCGCTCTAGCGCCCACGGGCTGCCCTCCCCTCACCCTACCCCACCCGTGACTCCACGCGGCAGGGGTGTGGATTCCGGAGCCAAAAGGGCTGGGGTGCCGATGCCGGCTCTCCCATCAACCACAGGGTCACCCCGGAGCTTGGGGCTCCTCAGAAGCACGGGCTGCTGTCACCAGCCCGCCCATCTCCTGCGGGGCGGCGCCAACACCTACCAGGGCCTCTCACGGGCTCTTCCTCAGGCATGGCCCGGGCCCGCTTGGCTCTGCGATTCCTCTTGGCCAGGCGCTCGGCAAACATCTGTGCCTTCAGGATTTCAAACTGTGACCTTTCTTCTGCCTGGGGGCGGAGGGGGTGCGAGCACGTGAGCGCGGAGCCGCAGAGGTGCCCCCCACCCCTGGGAGCAGTGGGGTGCCCCACCAGGCGTGCGCGCGGAGAAGAGGGTGCCCCCCTCGGCACTCACTGTCATCTCCCCCTTCTTCTTGGCATCCTTCATAAACTTCTTCCTTTTCTTCTTTCCTCTCAAGGCCAAGTCAAATTCCTGCAGCGCCTTGGCAACTGGCAAGGGAGAGAGCAGGCGGCTTCAGGAACGTCCACGTCCACGTCCACGTCCACGTCCACGTCCAGAAGCAGTGCATACTTTAAAGTAATGCCTGGGGCCGGTTCAAGTCCCGGCTGCTCCACTTCCAACCCAGCTCACTGCTAATGGCCTGGGAGAGCAGTGGAAGATGGCCCGAGTGCTGGGGACCCGGTGCCCATGCGGGAGACCCAGACGGCTTCTGCCTGGTCCAGCCCTGTCCACTGCAGTCATTTGGGGAGTGAACCAGCAGATGAAAAGAGACTTCTCTCTCTCTCCCTCTTGTCTCTGTCACTCTGCCATTTTTTTGTTGTTGTTGTTAAAAAGTGATTTATTTATTTGAAAGAGTTACACAGAGAAGGAAAGGCAGAGAGGCCTTCCATCCGTTAGTTCACTCTCCAACTGGCTCCAATGGCCGGAGCTGTGCTGATCCGAAGCCAGGAGCCAGGAGCTTCCTTCGGGTTTCCCATGTGGGTTCGGGGACCCAAACACTTGAGCCATCTTCTACTGCTTTCCCAGGCTATAGCAGAGAGCTGGATTGGAAGTGGAGCAGCCGGGACTTGAACCGGCGCCCATATGGGATGCAGGCACTACAGGTGCCAGCTTTACCCTCTATGCCACAGCGCCAGCCCCACTCGGCCTTTCAAATAAATAAATAAATCTAAAACAAAAAATGGCAAAAGATTGGGAACCTCAATAACCCTCAACTAGGGACTTATTAAATAAATTGCAATGGAAGACCACATAGTCACCAAAAAAAAAGTCCCATGGGGCATTTGGTACAACGATTGAGACCCCACCTGGAATGCCCACATCCCATATGGAAGTGCTCGGGTTCCAGTCCCAGCTCTGCTTCCAACTCCAGCTTCCTGCTAAGGTGCACCGTGGGAGGCAGCAGACAATGGCCTAAGTACTTAGGTCCCTGCCACCCACACGAGACGTGGACTGAGCTCCTGGCTCCTGGCTTCGGCCTGGTCCAGCCCCATTTGAGGAGTAAACCAGTGAATGGAGGTCACAGGAATGTGTCACTGTCTCAATCTGTCCCTCGGCCTTTCAAGTAGAAATGAAACTTTCCTTTGTAAGTCAGCTGTACACACGCCTGATATGAAACGATCCCCAAGCAATGCAACTGAATGGGAAAAGCAAGATGTAGAACACGAATTCAGGAGTGGTTTTTTTCCTTAAAAAGAGAGGGAGAAGGAACTATATTAAAACATCTCCTGGCCTCTTTAATTCTAATTGTGGTGAAACATCCACCGTCAGCTTTCCCAGTTCACCCGCGGTTAAGAGTCCTCTGTGGTGTGTAGTCCACTCCCAGCGTCGGGACCGTGCAGCCATCACCACTTACAAAGCCCCACGCGGGGGCGGCCAGTGACGGGCCCCACTGCAAACGCGTCCCCCGGCCCTGGGGAGCCCTGTGACCTGTGGCTGACTCTGCCCCGTCCACGGGACCCCATGGGGCTTGTCCACCGCTGTGGGGACCATGGCCCTCAGCAGAGCGTCCCCACGGTGAGGCCCGGAGGCACGTATCAGAGCTCCGGTGAGACTGAACGGCCAGTGTGCCGCTGGACTGTACCCTGTTCTGTTCATCTTCTCAAACTGTTGTTGATTTATTGAATGGCAGAGCGAGATCTTCCAATGGCTGGTTTATTCCCCAAATGCCCACAAGGGGGCTGGGCCAGGATGAAGTCAGAAGCCAGGAACTGAACCCAGACCTCTCAGGCAGGTGGCTGGGGCCAAACTCACCCTGCTGCCTCCCAGCATCTGTCGGCAGGAGGCTGGCGTCACCCGTCAGACACAGGACGCAACCCCAGACCGTCTAATAGATGACCCAGGCATCTTAACCAGTGCGCCAAATTCTTGTTCTTCCATTCATGGTTGATTTTTTTTTTTAATTTACTGATTTTTATTCATTTGAAAGGCAGAGAGACAGAGAGAACCTCTCATTTGCTGGTTCACTCCCCGAATGCCCACAATAGCCAGAGCTGCACCAGGCCGAAGCTAGGAGCCCAGACTCAATCCAAGTTTCCCACATGGATGGCAGGGACCCAACCACGTGAGCCATCATCTGCTGCCTCCCAGGGTGCATGAGGAGGAAACTGATCAGAAGCAGGCACTCCGACGTGGGCTGCAGGTGTGCGAAGCAGTAGCCTAACCACTCCGCCACAATGCCTGCCCCCACGCGCCGTGTGACGGCCCCCTGGCTACCAGGACTAATGCCCCAGTGGGCACGGGCACACGGGTCTGCGGGAGTTCCCACGTTCGGCTCCCTGGGTATTCGCCCCCTGCTGGCCCCACGGTGGTTCGGCCTCGCTTTTGGAGGAAGCGTCCCTGACTTACTTTTTTCTTTCTTCCTCTCCTCTTTGGTCTGGAACCAGCTCCTCTCAGGCTCCTGGCCCGGCGCCTCCTTCCCCTTCTCCAGGAGCCGTTTTGCTGTGTTGATCTGCGGGGACAGCAGCAGGGTGCCCCGTGAGGCCCCGTGAGGCCCCTGGGCCCCAGAGGGCCGGGCGGAGCAGACGGAGCCTCTGCTCGCAGCCCCACCTGGGCTTCCGACTGCTGCATTGCCTTCTCCTCCGCCTCCAGCTGCAGAACCGCGTACACGTCCTTCTCCATGGCCTCGATCTTGTCCCGAAACCTGAGGATGACGTCTCGGAGCAAGAGAACGAGAAGGTTTTAAAATGCAGGTGAAGACGCACACGGCACAGCTGATGGAATAGCGTAAACGTGTACTTGCTGATGGGAATTCCTGCTTTTCAGAGCCGACTTCCTCTCAGCAGCCCCCAAGGCTTCCTGTGGCTCCTGGGATTCCCGACTCCCACCCTCTGGGCTCCTGCGACACTAAGCTTGCTGCTGCCACAGGGCCTTGGCCCTGCTCCCTCTCGGCTCAGAGGCCTTTCCCGAACAGCCTTTCTGTGGGAGGCACCGCTCACGCCCACCAGAGCGTCAGCCCTGCTGCGTCGCCGGCTGGATCCCCGCACCAGGCACAGGGTGGGACGCGCGGCTCCTTGCTGGGCGAAGGAAGTAAAAATGAACAAAGGCCTGAAAGGGCACGGTGCGAGCGGCGGCGAGCGCGCTGATGGAGAACTACAGCTTTACTTTCCTTACCGGTTCCCAACGATGAATGACTTTAAGGGGAACAGACTGAGCGCTGCTCCGCTCCTCCTCTGCCCCCACCGGGCAGAATTCCGCCCCAGCAGACACCTTTCCCGTAGGGAAACGTCTGAGTGGGCACTGCGTCCGCATCTCTATCATTCTTCCCTTCTGCCCACCCAGGAAGGCCGAAGGCCAGCAAAGGAGGTGAGACCTGCCCAGGGTCTCTCGGCGAGGAAGCGGCAGAGCTGAGCGTCCAACCCGCTTCCTGCTGGCAAAGCACCTGCTCCCAGCTGTGCGCCCGGCCCTGCCCAGCCCTGCCCGGCCCTGCCCGGCCGCCCCTCACCCTGGGGCAGTATGCGGGCCTTCACAGGGGCCTTGGCGGCCTTCACGATCTCCTTCAGCATCTTGCGCTCCTCTTCTCCCACCAGAGACACCGAGCGCCCGGCCCTGCCGGCACGCGCGGTCCGCCCCACGCGGTGGACGTAATGTTTGATGGTGTTGGGCATCGTGAAATTGACAACCTACAAGGTCAACGTGGAGCATCAATCAGGTTAGGTGGAGCCGGGGGGGGCAAGGAGGCAGAGTTGAACCAGAAGTCCCAGGAAGACGGGCCCTGCTCACCGTTTTGACCCCTTCGATGTCAAGTCCACGGGCTGCCACATCTGTGGCCACCAGGACGTCAATCTGTTCATCCTTGAAGCGCCTAGAAATGGACGCAGACAGACGCTCATCCAGATGCCAGACCCCAAGAATTCTCCAGCAGAGAACCGAGTGGGGCGTTAAAGCCACCAAAATGGCCTGGCACTGTGACGCAGCAGGCTGAGCCACTGCCTGGGACACCCACGTCCCCCACTGAACGCTGGTTCAAGTCCTGGAGACACCCATTCTGATCCAACTCCCTGCTAATGCACCTGCGAACCAGCAGATGAGGGCTCACGTTCCTGGGCCCCTGCCACCCACGTGGGAGACCTGGATGGAGTTCTGAGCTCCTGGCTTCAGCCTGGCCCAGCCTTGGCCATTGCGGCCATTTGGGGAGAGAACCAGCAGATGGAAGATCTGTCTCCCTCTGCTCTTCAAATACATAAACCAACAGACTGCAGGAAGGAGCATATGCAAAGGTGTCTGTGATGATGAGGAAGACGGGCAGAATTCTAGGGTATCCCTTGCCCGCCAGCTGGGATTCCACATCTTTTTTTTTTTTTTTTTTTTTTCTGACAGGCAGAGTGGACAGTGAGAGAGAGAGAGAGAGAGAGAGAAAGGTCTTCCTTTGCCGTTGGTTCACCCTCCAATGGCCAGCATGCTACAGCTGGTGCATCGCGCTGATCCGAAGGCAGGAGCCAGGTACTTATCCTAGTCTCCCATGGGGTGCAGGGCCCAAGCACTTGGGCCATCCTCCACTGTACTCCCTGGCCACAGCAGAGAGCTGGCCTGGAAGAGAGGCAACCGGGACAGAATCCGGCGCCCCGACCGGGACTAGAACCTGGTGTGCCGGTGCCACAAGGCGGAGGATTAGCCTAGTGAGCCACGGCGCCGGCCGGGATTCCACATCTTGTTCGCTCAGCCCCAGGGGTGGCTGCTGCCGCGGGCAAGCTGGAGCCTGAGACCACACAGTGTCTTTCAGGTCAGGTTCCAGGCGGGGCCCAGGTGGAAGGGGCGCCCTGGGCATGGGCACCTGGGAACAGGGCTGCTGCTCTCACCCAACCCCCGGGGTCCCGCCTGCCCCCGCCCGTTACCGGAGGGCCTCCAGCCGCTGCGTCTGGGACAGGTTGCCGTGGAGCTCGCCCACCTGCAGCCCCAGGAGGCCCAGGAGGATGTGCAGGCGGTGGGCCTGCTTCTTGGTCTGCGTGAACAGCATCACGTGGTCGGTGAAGGTTCTGGTCAGCAGAGCTGCAGGGAGGGAGGGGCGCTCTCAGCTGCTGCGACGCGTGGCTGCCGTGCCTGGCACCCGTCCTCGCGGCACAGCCGGAAAAGCCGACTCCCGAGAGCAGCGAGAGTGACCCCTTGGTCTTCACCTGCCACGATGGCTTCCCGGTCCCCTTCCCGGTTAGGCCGGATCCGGATGAACTCCTGCCGCAGGAAAGGGGCCACATCCGTGTTGCTGTTCACAAATATCCGAACGGGGTTCTTCAAGGAGACTGAAGCCAGATCCTTCACCTGCCGAGCACGAGGCCAGGGTCTCAGCTCCCCGCGGCCGGCAGCCGGGGAGGAGGCGGCTGCCCGGCCCGCAGCACCCCCGCCCGGGCGCCCCGGCCCACCTCGTCCGTCATGGTGGCCGAGAAGAGCATGGTCTGCCGGTGGTGCGAGCACATGCGGATGATCTCCTTCATCTGCTCCTCGAAGTACTCGTCCAGCATCCTGGGGAGAGGCAGGACACGCGGCCGTGGGCGGAGGCGCGCAGGCCGGGTCTGCTGGTGGCGGCCGTGGGCGGAGGCGCGCAGGCCGGGGTCTGCTGGCCATGTTCAGACCTCCTCAGCTGCTCTCCACCTGTCACTCTGCAGCCATCCAGAACCACGCCTCCTGCACTGTAACTGGCTGCGGCGGCTCGCTGGGTTCCCTTAATCTGGAACCTCCCCCTCCCCCTTTTCCACACTCGGGATTTGTCTGTCTTCCAGGGCCTGGATTCAGACAACTCGACACCGGCACGGTGCTACCAGGCAAGGCGGGGCCCTCCCCCTCTCCAGCAGCAGACGCCAGCGGTCGCGTTCCAGAGCCAAGGGTGTGCGCGCGGCGTCCTGGTTACGGCAGCACCTGGGGGTCTCCCCGCTGCAGAGGAGTCTCCTTGCCGGCACCTGCCCCTGTGGCACAGGCCCTCCTTCCCCTGCCCCCACGCTGCCTCAGCCTGGCGTGCCGTGAGACGCGGCATCTCGGAAGCACGGTTTCCAGCCTTTTAGCCCCGAGGCAACCACGGAATGCTCTCCTTTGCTTCTCTGCCTGCTCTGCTGGAGGCAGCCAATCGGGCCTTTAGCAACAGCACACAGGGCACCTGCTGTGCGCCAGGCACAGGACTGAAGCAGAGGCCCCGTCTGGAGTACCGTGTTCTAGGGGGAGGGGACAGACTCAAATGCCCCAGGAACCCTCCAGGGACCGCGCAGGAGGACAGCGTCAAAGCACCTCGGAGACAAAAGCAGAGAGGGAGTGAGGAAGGCAGGAGCTGTCCCAACACGGTCAGCAAAGGCGTGTCCCAAGGACCAAGCGCGCAGCAGAAACCCAACAGGGACAGCAAAGTACTGCCCGCCAAGTAACAGCTGACACAGATGCCCCCGGAGGCCAGCGGGAGTTACCAACAGGTCAAAGGTCAGGTGTGAAAACAGGGAGACAAGGATGAACACCCTAACAACTGGGAGCGTGGAGGTGTCGTTCCTTGAGATTGGGGGGTGGGGGCAGGTGGGATCAGAAGCCTGTTTACAACCTGTCTGTTCTGCGCTGCTTCAACCGGGAGCAGCCTGAGCACGCACTGGCTTATCTGTGACTTCCTGCCCCGCCCCGCAGCCCACCGTCAATCCAGCGCACGCAAGAGTTGATCATCTGTGACTTCCTTCCCCACCCTGCACCCCATCATCAATCCACTGCATACAAGAGTTGATCCTCTTCTGCCTCAAGGGAGAGAGGTGACCAGGAGCAACATGTATAAAAGACAGATGGAAGACGGAGAGAGGGAGCCCCTGTGACAGCCACGGAGATGTCTGTGGGGCCTCGCTACGCAGTGGGTGCCACTCCCGCCTCCCTCATCCAAACAAGAACCAAGATCAGCTTTCCAAACCTCAGTGAGGAGGCAGCAGAGCACACATGACCTACCTTACAGCTCAACGGTCATCACACACACAGGAGGGAGAGGGAGAGGGGGAGAGAGGGAGAGAGGGAGAGAGAGAGAGAGAGAGAGAGAGAGGGAGAGAGGGAGGGAGAAGGGGGGAGGGAAAGAGGGGGGGAGAGGGAGAGAGAAGGAGAGAGAGAGAGAGGGAGAGAGGGAGAAAGGGAGAAAGGGAGAGAGGGAGAAAGGGAGGGAGAGAGAGGGAGAGAGGGAGAGAGAGGGAGAGAGAGAGAGAGGAAAATCGGGGCCCAATGTGAAGCGGCTCCCCACACCCGCGGCAAAGGCCAGGAGCACGCAGAAGCCCGCAGGCTCCGCATCCGGGTGCGGCCCCGCAGCCGCCTGAGGCGCACCTGTCGGCCTCATCCAGGATGAGCACCTCGATGCTGTTCAGGTGGAAGGAGGGGCAGTTGTGGAGGTGATCGATGAGCCGCCCCGGCGTGGCGATGAGGATGTCGGGCGCCGCCCGAAGAGCCGCTTCCTGAGACTTCACGTCCAGGCCACCTGCAGGGACAGCCCCATCGGGTGGCCAGCTCAGTCACCCGCAGAGGGGGCTCAACGCCCACTCCACCGCACGCCCAGTGCAGACGAAACAGCTGAGAACAAGACTGACCCAGGCCCGCCCACGTGGACTTCACAACACGTGGAGAGGGACGGCAATTTCAGGACAACCGTGTAAATATGGACGTCAGAAAAGTGACAGAAACCTCCAAGGTCAAGAAGAAGTTGTGAAAATTACTGAAGCCTCCGCACACAGGACAAAAAAAATCACCTTTGACTTCCAACTGCACATGGAAGATAAGCTGCAGGTTGGATGGCGCTCTCACAAAGCTTCAGCACAAAAACTCTGCCCAAAATAAAGCCTGCCTCATCATTCATGCTAAGAAGTTACAGACTAAGAGCAGGCATGTGGCATGGCGCTCAGGCACCACTGGGACACCTGCATCTGCATCACAGGGGGTCAGGGGTCAAATCTTGGCTCCACTTCTGACCCCAGTTCCCAGCAAATGTGCTGTGCACCGTGGGAGCCAGCAGCGGAAGGCTCGAGGCCTTGGGTCCCTGCCCCCACGTGAGGTCAGGACTGAGTTCTGGGCTTCTGCTCTTGACCTGGCCTGGCCCCAGCTGCTGCAAATACTTGGGAAGTGAACCAAAGGATCTGTTTCTCGCTCAGATATATTTTAAAAAGAAAGAAATCTATTTTAGTTTTTAAATATATTTTAAGAAGAAATTACAACCTAAGTTTGTTCAGTACCAAGAACGATCGTCCCATAATTTTGACACATTTTTTAAGGCTGATTAAGTCCCAATCAGACTTCTCCCATTCCCCTCCTGTGAAAACAGGACATCCGGTTTGTACGTGGATCCACTCGACAGAGGCCTTTCTGAGCACCCGGCTCCCCCGGGAGAGACCCGCACTCGGCTGGAAACTCACCCACCGCCAGGCACGTGGTGATGCTGCAGAACTGCGCCAGCTGCTTGGTCACGGAGTGCACCTGGATGCCCAGCTCGCGCGTGGGAACCAGCACCAGCACCCGGGTGACGGGCGCCTGGCGGGGCTTGTAGATCAGCCGCTCCAACACGGGCAGCGCGAAAGCAGCCGTCTTACCTGGCGGGGGAGCGGCAGGAAAGCAGGAAGAGATCCGGGCCTGAATGAACGGCTACAGCCCCCAACACCCACGCGGCCGCTCCGGGACCGCTTCGCAGCCCTCAAGCTACACGGTGGATGCCAAAACCTGGAACCACAGAACCACCGGCCCGGGCAGCGGGTGGAGAAGGTCGCCTCGAAGGTGAACGCGTCCTAAAGCTGTAGCCATGAAATGCATGAGGAGTATACCTTGAATAAAAAGTTTCGGGGGGAAAAAGGAGAGGAGGGCCCTAGGTCTCGATCTTAGTCTTTGGTGGACAGGAATATTAAAAAAAAAAAAAATGTTTTGATGTAGTAACATACACACTGTCTTCTAACTTTTCTTTTTCTCAAGAAAACATGAATATATATCTTCTTATTTTTTTTTATTTTTTTTTTTGACAGGCAGAGTGGACAGTGAGAGAGAGAGACAGAGAGAAAGGTCTTCCTTTGCCGTTGGTTCACCCTCCAATGGCCGCCGCGGCCGGCGCACCGCGCTGATCCGATGGCAGGAGCCAGGATCCAGGTGCTTTTCCTGGTCTCCCATGGGGTGCAGGGCCCAAGCACCTGGGCCATCCTCCACTGCACTCCCTGGCCACAGCAGAGGGCTGGCCTGGAAGAGGGGCAACCGGGACAGAATCCGGCGCCCCGACCGGGACTAGAACCCGGTGTGCCGGCGCCGCTAGGCGGAGGATTAGCCTAGTAAGCCGCGGCGCCGGCTTATATCTTCTTATTTTTAAAAAAAGTACTCTATTGTTTCAAATGGCTGCACAGCACTATAGGACATGACAGCTCTCCTCTATGACCAATGATCCCAAGGCTGATGATCGGGCTACTTTCCAGTAACAACATGGGGCACGGGTAAGGGCCCCTCCCTGGGCCCACGGGGCTACAGGGCGCACGGGTAGAGACCCCTCCCAGGGCCCACGGGGCTGCACAGGGCACAGGCAGAGACCCCTCCAAGGCCCACGGGGCTACACGAAGATGAACTTCACCAGACCCCAAAACCTGCGCCTCCTCCCATTTCCTTTAGAAAACTGAGTAGGCTGTGCATCTAGTTAACACCAAGGCCAAGGTCCTGGTTTGGATGTTGCCCTATGGTTACACGAGACGTCACCAGGCGAGAAGGATTAGAGTCTCCACCGGGCCAGCGCTGTGGCAGTCCACACAGTGCTGGCTGCTGACTCTTCCTAGTCTCCCCCAACACCCACCAGCAGAGGCCCCTCCTTGTCACCCCCCAGTTCTCTCCAGCTACAGCCACGGGGAAAAGGCACAGAAAGCAAGAAAACATTCTATAAAACGCTGCCGTGGGGACACAACGGAAACTGGCCAGCTCCAAGTGTCCCCAAGTCTCCAAAAGCCCAACATGAATTCCTGCAGACGTTATCAACAGTTCCAAAACACAAGGCCTGTTAGCCCAGCGGCATTCCGGGAGGTCGACCTGGAGCCCAGCCCGGGGACGCCATCCTCCCTCCCCTGGCCGCACCTGTCCCGGTGGCTGCGCAGGCGCAGATGTCCTTTCCCAGCAGACCCACGGGTATGCACGCCTTCTGGATTGGGGTGGGCTGCTTGAAGCCCATGGCAGAGATGGCCTGAAGAGGAAAGACAGGATCAGCTGGGGGTGGGGGGGCGGTGGCAGGCCAGGCGCAGGCCGAAACCAGTCACCAGGGAAGTCACTCAAACTACAGCAATCCTCCCGACACTCATCCACACAGGGCAGCTGAGAGCACGGGGTCTCAGAGCTGGCCAGGCACCCGGCACACAGCAGGAAGTGACAGAAACGAAATCCCTGCCCTCAGGAACCTTATGATGTGGTGACATGAGACAGACCAAGAAACAGGCCACACGAGACAAACACCAGCGAAGGATCTGGATGGTCCAGGGGCGGGGAGGCGGCCTGAGGGGTGCAGTCAACTCGGGAGAGCCCAGGGAGGCCCCTTGAACCCTGAGGAGGGCAGGGGACACTCGACTGGCTTCCGGAAGAAGAGGCTTCCAGGCAGAGGGAGGAGCCCGGGGCCTCCGGCATCAGCATGGAGGCAGAGTGGCCACAGAATGAGTGCCAAGGAGACATCATCTGAGGGGACCAGAAGGGATACGGCCGTGCAGGCAGTCAGTAGGACACTGGCTTTGATCCTAAGGGAAACTGGAAGTCGGGGGTGGGGCCGTGGAGGCAGGCAGGGATGGTGACAGGGTCTCTGTGCTGTGAGGACGGCAGAGGGCAGGAGAGCGGGGTTACTGCAGTCATCAACCCCCAGGGCCCTCCAGAGGCCACCACCTTCAGCAGAGGGCGGGACAGGTTCATGTCCTGGAAGGAGAGGCTTTCATCATACTGAGAGGCATCTTCAAAAAATCCACCCATTTCCTGCAGCAGAAAATCAAAAAAGACAGAATTCAGCACAGGGGTCCAGGGAGCATGAATCCCTCACAGCCTTGCAGGGTTTCCAGGCGAGCCCCACGCTGAGCTCCCGCCCACACTCACCTGTCCTTTCTTCTTCTTCTTCTTCTTCTCCTTTACTTTGAGTGTATCTACGGAGAAAAGCGCAGCTGAGGACCGTGGCTCCTCCCCTCTGTGCACCTGCCACGTGCCAGACACCGTCCTCAGCGCATCCACCTGGGAGGGAGCCACTGCCGCCAGCTTCATCTCACAGATGAGGACACTTGGGTGGCCACACAGGAAAGAAGCATAACCTGCCTAAGGTCAGACAGGAAGCAGACCGGCCGGTGTGGTCCAGAGCGCAGGCTCCGAATGCTAAGCCCCAGTATGTGTTAGTACACCTTCCTGCAAAGACGACTCGCGGAGAAACCATCCGATATAGGTCACTGCCAGTCTCAGTCCCAGAGATGCCCAGAGGCTGCCGATGGGGAAAGAGGAAACTTCCTGAAAACTGAGATGGCCCACCCAAGACCCCGCCACAGAGGAATTCAACATCGCAGGGAGGTCTGAACTACTGACTGTGGGTGGGGCAAGCCATGTGGCTTAGCGGGCTGGGCCGCCGCCTGGTACGCCTGCATCCCCCATCAGTGCTAGGGATGGTCCTGACTCCACCGCCAATCCAGCTTCCTGCCCACGAGCACCCTGAGAGGCAGCAAGCAGGTGATGGCTCAAGTACGGCCATCCCTGCCACCCACGGGAGACCAGAGTACGTTCCAGGCTTCGGGCTTTGGTCCGGCCCAGTCCTGGCTGTTATGGGCATTTTGGAAGTAAATCAGCGTGTGAGAGATCTCTGTCTCTCAGACTTTCAAGTAAATAAAAAATAAATAAAAATTTTAAAATTTATCAGCTGTGCAGAACCCAGAATTCTTTGCACGAAGAGGTGGATGCGCCCTGGCCCGGCCCGTGTCTGCGGCTCCAGCGCCGCCCACCTGCTTTGGTGAGGATGTCCTCCTCTGCGGACGAGTAGTCAGTCTCTGGCTCCTCATCTTCCGACCCTTCCTCATCTCTCCCCGCTGGCTCCTCCGGCCCCGCTGGCTCAGGGCCCTCCTTGGCTTCTGTCTCCTTCTCCAACTTCCCAGATTTGGCTTCTTTATCCTGGAAAAAAAATTACAATAAAGCCAGGTTAACAACAAACAACACGAAATTCAGAGCCCAAGAAGAGCACCGTTGGGCTCTTCAGCCTGGTGGAGACTGGCAGGACTCTTAGTGGCCAAAGGGGACCCAAAGGGGGCTGGCGCTGTGGCACAGGGAGTTAAGCTGCCACCTGTGATGCCAGCTGTGGCATGAGCACCAGCTCAAGTCCCGCTGCTCCACTTCTGATCCAGCTCCCTGGTGATGCGCCTGGCAAAGCAGTGGTTGAGCCTGTGCTGCCCACGTGAGACCTGGATGGAGCCCCCATGCTCCTGGCTGTGGCCTGGCCCAGCCCTGGCAGTTATAGCCAATGGGGGGGGGGGGGGAGTATGAACCAGCGAATGGAAGATATCGCTCTCTCGGTCTCTCTCCCCTTCTGTTGCTCTGCCTTTCAAATACATAAAACAAATCTTTTTCTTAAAAAAATAAAAAAAAGAAAGAAAGAAAGAGAGACCCCGAGGAGACATTGCAGTAGTACTAAGCACAAACCCAGGGCATAACTTAACTACAACAAGCAAGAGTGGCTTTGCCTCCTCACCTCCAGTTTCCTTTTCTTCCGAACTTTCTCGATCTTCTCATCTAATGTAGTGGCTGCCCTCTGCAAATAAAAATAGAGAGACAAGTAAAGAGAAACGCAGCAAAGTGGCCAAGCAAGATCTCTCTGATGGCTGGATGCAAATGTGAAGATGTAAAAGGTTTGTCTGTCTTTGCACAGATGAACCAATCTCTAGATTATTCTTGGGCCAAAAAAAAAAAAAAAAGTTAAGTAATTGGTCTCTCCATGAAAAAAGTTTAAATTACCAGGAACAATACAAGCACCCACATTTTAGAAGCAGCTTCAATGTAAAATGGCAAATTACCAAGAGATGTGAATTCTATCTAAACGGCACGCTGAAAAACCCTTGAGACATAATTCGGCCTACTAATTAAAATGCTGAAACCTGGGCAAATTCAGGTGATGCTGGAAACTGGCCGAACTTGTGGAAGGCTGAGTAAGTGGCCAGGTCCCTCCATGCGTCCTCAAAGCACCCGAACTGCCACGGCTGGGCCCCAAACGCTAGGCTGTGCCCTGCATTACTGGTCTAAGTACTCCCCGCCCTGCTGGACTGTAAGCTCACAGGCAGAGTATCTGTTCAGTAAACCTGGAGTGCACTGTTCATCAGAACATGAAACACGAGAACAAACACTTTACAGTTTACCTGGAAAAGTTCTTTGTTATTCTCTGAAAAAAAGAAAATATATTATATATATATATGTATTATAAACAAATCCTCCCAGGATGATCTTGAAGAGGCATCGCTGGTTGGCATGGACCAGAACCAGGACCGTCAGAGTGTGATTATCTGGAGCAGGTAAAACTTCTCTGAAAGCACATGACATGAGAGATAACATCGACACATCTTCTGGCTTGATAACCAGACTCACAGATGTGCATGGGATCCTGGCAATCCTGCAGATGACAATGACATCTGTGGCAGCTTTGGCTGCGTGGGAACCAAGCACCTTGAATGGTGACATCACCCGAGACCACCTTGCAAGTGACGGCGATTCATGAACGACACCACACTACCAGCGCAGACACGGGGCCTGGTGGTTCCGACACCACATCTCACACTGGAGCAGCCGACTCCGGCTTCCTGCTAATGCAGACTCCGGGAGGCAGCAGTAATGGCTCCAGTGCTCGGGTTCCTGTCACCCAGGTGAGACCTGGATGGAGTACCCGGCTCCTGACTTTGACTCAGCCCAGTCTCAGCTGTTCCAGGCATTTGGGGAGTAAACTAGCAGATGAGTGCTCTCTCTCTCAAATAACAAAAACATTTTAAAAGGAAAAACACTACCAAGGATGTCCATTAGACTGTTCTCTGTTACAAACTGATATAGCAAAGATTTCTTTCTAATATTTCAAGCAAGGAGTGAACATCTAAAAGAGGCCCTTTTAACACAGTTATGGTTATACATATTTTAGATGGGCTATGGATATTTTTAAGTCATACAATTTATGCAATGGTGGCGTTCCTAAACCAACGATCTCATATCATCAGGCATGCTCTAAGACTTTCTCTTTTCATGTCCTAACGTCTGTAAAGTAAAGGCCTCTCTCCATACATACACTGACGTGAGTCGGAGCTCACCTCTCCGGGAAAAGCCCCCGTGAACACTCCTGATACTTCCAAATGTCACCTGTGGCTCAATGATCCATGAGCGTGCGTGTGACTACTCAGGTCTGCGATAAACCCTCCGTGCAGCATTTTATGCTGTGGTGTTAATCAAGACTGCCAGTCGCCTGGGGCCTCCTCTCCCCACCCCACCAAAACCACAGGGGAGTTCCAAGGAGCTCCAGCATCCGCAAGCAGACGGACGCAGACGGACGCAGCCGGGAGAGGCGGTGAGGGAGGTGGGGTCAGGAGCCGCGAGCGGCCGGAGGCAGAGGGGAGAGGTGGTGAGGGAGGTGGGGTCAGGAGCCGCGAGCAGCCGGAGGCAGAGGGGAGAGGCGGTGAGGGAGGTGGGGTCAGGCCGGAGGCAGAGGGGAGAGGTGGTGAGGGAGGTGGGGTCAGGAGCCGCGAGCGGCCGGAGGCAGAGGGGAGGGGAGAGGCGGTGAGGGAGGTGGGGTCAGGGGCCGCGAGCGGCCGGAGGCAGCCGGAGGCAGCCGGGAGAGGCGGTGAGGGAGGTGGGGTCAGGAGCCGCGAGCAGCCGGAGGCAGAGGGGAGAGGCGGTGAGGGAGGTGGGGTCAGGCCGGAGGCAGAGGGGAGAGGCGGTGAGGGAGGTGGGGTCAGGAGCCGCGAGCGGCCGGAGGCAGAGGGGAGAGGCGGTGAGGGAGGTGGGGTCAGGCCGGAGGCAGAGGGGAGAGGCGGTGAGGGAGGTGGGGTCAGGCCGGAGGCAGAGGGGAGAGGCGGTGAGGGAGGTGGGGTCAGGGGCCGCGAGCGCTGCCCTCTCACCTTCCTCTTGAGCTGGCTCATGACCTCAGCCAGGGCCCAGCTGCCATCGTACGCCCCCTCCTTCTCGGTGAAAATGAAGTCAGGGTTGAAATCGGCACTGCGGTTCTTCTGCAAGGCCTTCTGCTTCCTGCCCAGCACAATGGGCCCCTGCGAAGAGGGAGAGGCTGGGTGACATGGGGCTGAGGAGAACAGTGGAAAAGGAAGATGGGGGCCGGCGCTGTGGCGCAGCGGGTTAAAGCCCCGGCCTGGGCATCGGCATCCCATCCGGGTGCTGGTTTGAGTCCCGGTTGCTCCTCTTCCAATCCAGCTCCCTGCTAGTGTGCCTGGGAAAGCAGTGGAGAATGACCTGGGTCCTTGGGCCTCTGCACCCAGGTAGAAGACCAGGAAGAAGCTCCTGGCTCCTGGCTCCAGATCAGCTCAGCTCCTGGCATTTGGGGATTGAACCAGTGGATGGAAGACCTTTCTCTGTCTCTACTTCTCTCTGTAACTCTGTCTTTCAAATTAATTAACTAATTAACTATTTTAAAAAAAGAAAAGAAGCAAATGCAGGTCCCAATAAAAGAAGAGAAACATACAGGACAAAAATGGACAGATTAGGAAAAGCAACTGAGCGACCTACAAGGATCGTGGGAGACTGCCACGCACAGCGCTCAGCAACTGAGCCAGACTGTGAACAACGTGGAGAACTTGGAGAACAGCTTCACCGCGAGGCACACAGAGGACACCACGTCCACCGTCGGAGAACACCGTGGGGACAGGCCGCACCACAAGGCCTACAGATGGCACCACGTCCACCGTCGGAGAACACCGTGGGGGCAGGCTGCACCGCGAGGCCTACAGACGGCACCACGTCCACCGTCGGAGAACACCGTGGGGACAGGCCGCACCGCGAGGCCTACAGATGGCACCACGTCCACCGTCGGAGACGGCCGTGGAATCTAAACAAGCCGCACTCACTGCAGTGGAGCAGAATGGCGTGGCCGCAGCTGGCGCTGGAGGAGGTGGGAAGGTACTGGTGAAAGAGGAGCGGCCCTTGGCCGGCACCATGGCTCACTAGGCTAATCCTCCACCTTGCGGCGCCGGCACACCGGGTTCTAGTCCCGGTCGGGGCGCCGGATTCTGTCCCGGTTGCCCCCCTTCCAGGCCAGCTCTCTGCTATGGCCAGGGAGTGCAGTGGAGGATGGCCCAGGTGCTTGGGCCCTGCACCCCATGGGAGACCAGGAAAAGCACCTGGATCCTGGCTCCTGCCATCGGATCAGCGCGGTGCACCGGCTGCAGCGGCGGCCATTGGAGGGTGAACCAACGGCAAAGGAAGACCTTTCTCTCTCTGTCTCTCTCTCTCACTGTCCACTCTGCCTGTCAAAAATAAAAAAATAAATAAATAAAAAATAAAAAGAAAGAGGAGCGGCCCTCAGTCCTAAGACGAGCAAGCTGTAGGCTCTCAGCTACAGAGGGTGACTACAGTTACCAGCACTGTGCTGTTGGTGCCGCCTCCAGCGGAGTGGCTGACACACCATGCGGATACCCGCACCCCAGACTGCAGTGCCCCGGTCTGAGTCCTGGCTCCTCCACTTCCAATCCAACTTCTTGCTAATATGCCTGGGAAGGCAGCAGGTGACAGCCCAAGATCTTGGGTCCCTGCTATCTACCCACATGGGAGGCCCAAATGAAGCTCCTGGCTCCTGGCTTTGGCCTGGCCCAGGGCTGGCTGTTGTGGTCCTTTGGGGAGTGAAGCAGCACACAGCAGGCCACTCTGTCTTTCAAATAAATAAGTGGTTTTTATGAAGTCATGTGTTAACCAACTAATCATTTCACAAAATATAGATATATCAAAGCCTCATGTGAATATCTTAAATTTACAAAACTATTTATCCATCATCCCTCAATAAAGTTGCAGGGGAAAGCAACAGCTCCTGAGTACTGAGAACACACAAGGCCCTGCGAGAGGCACTGGGGATAAAAGCACAATCAAGACCCAGCCCCAGCGCCAGCGCCATGGTGTGGAGGGTTAAGCCTCTGCCTGTGGCGCCGGCATCCCATATGGACTACGGTTCGAGTCTCGGCTGCTCCACTTCCAATCCAGCTCCTTGCTGCCGGCCTGGGAAAGCAGTGGAAGATGGCCCGAGCGCTTGCACTCAAGTGGGAGACCTGGAAGAAGCTCCTGGCTCCTGGCTTCAGATTGGCCCAGTTCCGATTGTTGTAGCCATTTGGGGAGTGGGTGAAAGACCTCTCTCTCTGCTTCTGTGTCTGTAACTCTGCCTCTCAAATAAATAAATCAAAAAAAAAAAAAATAGCACCTATTCTCAACCTCAGCGAGCTAACAAAGGAATGAGCAACTACTAACAAGGGCCACCCTTGGGGGAGTTGTGGGTTTGCTGTTCCTAGTTACACACCATGGATGCAGGTGAGTGTGCATCCAACATGTGCACAAACAAGCCTCGCATCTACCCGAGTGCTACCGCGATCCGCTTTGTAGAGGGGAAAGTGAGACGCAGGCTAAATCCCTGGTCCGTGATCACCCTCCGATAAAGGGCAGCGGCGAGGCTCAAACCAGGCCCAGCGCTCCTCACCACGATTCTGAAAGCTGTTCCCAGGAGGTAACCGGAAACCTCCGTGCCAGGTAAGCGGAGCCACACGGCGGCCACACGGGCCACTTCACCGTGTGCGGTGGCGGCGGCAGCTCCAGAACGCACACCCGGCACAGGCGACAGGCACAGGGAGCCGCGCTGCAGGCAGAGAGACGGCAGCGAGGAAGCCTCGGAGCTGAGGGGCCAAGGCCACGCAGTCCAGGAAGGGAAGTGACCGTGGAGTGGTCAAGAAGGGGAGGGTCTGAGAGGTGAGCCAAGAAGCCAGACGGAAGCGGGCTCGCAGCTGTTACCCGAAGGAGGGCCCTCCCGTGAGGAGTGCACCAGGGACCAAGAGGAGATGCAGCCGGTGCGTCCGGGCTGCAGGTGTCGCAGCTCGTGCCGGCACCGGTCTGTCCTGGGTGGGAGTGGGGGCAGGGGGAGAGGCCGGGAGACCCCTGCAGAGCTCAGGAGGGGCTGAGCGGACAGGAGGCCAGACTGCGGAGCTTCCGGCCTGAGATGGGGAGAGGGTGGAGGGTGAGGGAGACCCCGCGGGTCTGGAGGAGCTGGCCTGTGGAGGCCACGGGACAGCCCAATGGGCGTGTCCAGCAGGCAGATGCGAATCTCCCAGGGCCCTGATTCCCCTCTAACTGCCACACTGCAGGTCCGGGGTCACGCACAACACCAGCCGCAGGAGCGAGGCGCCCGTCTTCCCCGCTGCGCCGGCCCCACGCTTGGCACTACTCAGCAAGTGCTGGCTCGCGAAACAAGCGAACGGAAAGACAAGCAGGGCTCTGTGGGCAGGGACCAGGACTGCCTGCCATTCGCCCAGTGAGTGCAGGCGACGCCGACTGCCCCGCGTGCAGACGTGCGGGGAAGCTGGCGACGAGCAAACTGAGACGAGCGCGGGGTCCCAGGGAGACCATTCCCGGGAAACTACCCCCGCCGGGCGGGGACACCGAGGATTCGGGGACAGGAGCCTGAGGAATCGCGGGCACGGGAAGCGGTCGAGGAAACCCGCGGGTGCGGGGGCCGTGTCCCCAAGCTCCGGCCAGCTCGTACCTCCTCCTCCTCGTCTCCGGAGTCGGACTCGGGCTCCACCGGCACCTCGTCATCCTCGCCGATGGTTCCGATTAAACCGAGCTCAGCAAGCATGGTGAAGCCGCAGCCACTTCCGGAAGCGCACCGTCCGTCCGTCCGTCCCCAATCCGCTCGGCGACCACTGCGCATGCGCCTTGCGTCACTTCCGCTCACGGAAGACACTCCGCCCCCGGGAGCGCGCACGCGGCCGTGGGGGCGTGGCTTCGCGTGACGCCATCCCGGGTCGCAGCTTTGGGCGCTCCGATTCCATTGTGTGGGTCCCCAGCGGTAGGAATCGTGGAGGGGTGTCTGAGGTGAGGTCCGGGGAGGTGGGATCCAGCCGTGGGCATTTCTGCATAAAACGATGTGACGGAAAACAACCATTGGTTAGCAGTGATAGAATTACGAGTTTTAATTTTCTTCTCAGTTTTATTTTTTTTAATGTCCCTAAGCATCACCCCCCTTTTTTTTTTTTTGACAGGCAGAGGTAGTGAAAGAGAGAGACTGAGAGAAAGGTCTTCCTTCCGTTGGTTCACCCCCCAAATGGGCGCTACAGCGGGCGCTGCGCTGATCCGAAGCCAGGAGCCAGGTGCTTCTCCTGGTCTCCCATGGGGTGCAGGGCCCAAGCACTTGGCCCATCCTCCACTGCACTCCTGGGCCACAGCAGAGAGCTGGCCTGGAAGAGGGGCAACCGGGACAGAATCCGGCGCCCCGACCGGGACTAGAACCCAGTGTGCCGGCGCCGCAGGCGGAGGATTAGCCTAGTGAGCCGGCCAACCTAAGCATCACCTCTCACGGGGAGTCACCTCAGACTACCTAAACCTCCTGGCCGGTCCTCTTTCCATAGCAGCACTCCCTGCGTGCGACAGCCGGCACCTGTGTCTCAGAAGTAAGCTTAGTTGTCTGGTGTGTGTGTTTAAAAGGTGCTATCAGCGGCGTGAATTACGTTTGCAATATTAGGCAGCCATCACCCCGTTTCCACAACCGTTTCATCACCCTAGACAGGAACATGGTAACCACTGAGCAGTCACTACCACATGGAACTCTCCCCGACCTCTGAACTACTTCCTGTTCCCAGAACTGCCATGTTCTAGATGTGTTCTAGACGGGGAATTGCGCCATCTTGGTCCATCCGTGTCGGGCTCTCGCTTCCCTCTGCAGGCCTTTTCAATGTCCACCCACGTTGCGGCATGTGCCAAGACTTCGTTATGGCTGAATAATGTTGTATTGTGCGTGGAGATCACTTGTTTGCCCATGTGTCTGTTGGTGAACACTGGGTGAATTCCCCATTTTGACTGTAGTGAACATTGTTGTATGGAACCTGTTTGAGTCCCTGTCTTCAATTGTTAGGGGTTGTACCCAGGAAAGCAGTTACTGGGTCCATATCTGACTTGCTGAGGAACCACCAACATGGCTTGCAGCGGCTGTCTCTACCTTCCCATCGACAGTGGGCGAGTGTCCCCACTGCGCCACATTCTTGCTGACACTTAGGCTTGAACAATGGCCATAGATGCCTTTTTTTTTTTTTTTAAGATTTATTTATTTATTTGAAAGTCAGAGTTACAGAAATCAGGAGCGACAAAGTGAGATTTTCCATCCCCTGTTCACTCCCCAAATAGCCACAATGACCAGGGCTAGGCCAGGCAGAAGCCAGGAACCTGGAGCTTCTTCTGGGTTTCCCACATGAGTGGCAGGGGCCCAAGCACTTGGCCCATCTGCTGCTGCTTTTCCCAGGCCATAATCAGGGAGCCAGAGCAGAAGTGGAGCCTCTGGGACATGAACCGGTGCCCATATGGAATGCAGGCAGTGGCTTTACCCACTACGCCACAGCGCCAGCCCCCAGAGATCCTTTTAATGACAGTTGTGATGATGGTGAGTCTCATACTCTCACTTCAGACACAAATAGCTGGTACATGAAGAATAGCTAAGAGTTACTGAGTGTTAATTCCTAGATCAACATTTCTTTTTTTATTTTAAATTTCATTTATTTTATGCTGAATGTATTCCTAAGCCATGCGTTTGTGTTTGTTCGGTTTCTTCCATGCCCCCTCGTTCAGTGAGGACCATCTCAATGGGGCAGGGAGCTCCGGGATGGGTTAATCCACCCATGAGCTCTGTAGGCTCAGCAGAGCGTCTCGGGTACTCTGTTCTGCTGGATATTTTCGATGACTAGAGAATCTGCATCCAAACCTTCAGCTCAGCATCACTCTATACATTTTTTTAAAAGACTTCTTTTATGTATTTGAAAGGCAGAGTTACAGAGAGAGAGAGAGCCAGAGAGAGAGAACTTCCATCCACTGGTTTACTTCCCAAATAGCCACAATGGCCAGAGCTGAGCTGATCTGAAGCCAAGAGCCAGGAGCTTTTTCCGGGTCTCCCACGCGGGTATAGGGGCCCAAGGACTTGAGCCATCTTCTGCTCTCCCAGGCCATAGCAGGGAGCTGGATCAGAAGTGGACCAGCTGGGACTTGAACCGGCGCCCATATGGGATGCAGGCACTGTAGGCTTTAACTGGGGTTTAACCTGCTGTGCCACAATGCCAGCTCCACTCTGTATTTTTGAAAATTTAACTTTGTTTTTCTTAAGATTCATTTATTTATTTGAAAGGCAGAGTTACAGAGAAGCAGAGAGAGAGAGAGGCCTTCCTGGTCTTCTGGTTGACTCCCCAGATGGCTGCAACAGCCAGAGCTGCGCTGATCTGAAGCCAGGAGCCAGGACCTGCTTCCGGGTCTCCCAAGTGGGTGGAAAAGGCCCAAGCAGCTGGGACACCTGCTGCTGCTTTCCCAGGCCATAGCAGAGAGCTGGATGGGAAGTGGAGCAGCCCAGACATGAACTGGTGCCCATGTGGGATGCTGGCACTGCAGACCAGAGCTTGAACCTGCTGCGCCACAGCACCGGCGCCCAAAATTTAACTTTCTTTTTCTTTCTTTTTTTATTTTTTAATTTAATTTAATTTAATTAATTTATTTATTTATTTATTTTGACCGGCAGAGTGGACAGTGAGAGAGAGACAGAGAGAAAGGTCCTCCTTTGCCGTTGGTTCACCCTCCAATGGCCACCGCGGCCGGCGTGCTGCGGCCGGCGCACCACACTGATCCAAAGGCAGGAGCCAGGTGCTTCTCCTGGTCTCCCATGGGGTGCAGGTCCCAAGCACTTGGGCCACCCTCCACTGCACTCCCAGGCCACAGCAGAGAGCTGGCCTGGAAGAGGGGCAACTGGGACAGAATCCGGCGCCCTGCCCGGGACTAGAACCTGGTGTGCCGGCGCCGCAGGCAGAGGATTAGCCTATTGAGCCGCAGCGCAGGCGGAGGATTAGCCTAGTGAGCCGCGGCACTGGCCACTTTCTTTCTTTCTTTCTTTTCTTTTTTTTTTTATTAATATTATTTATTTGAGCCGGCGCCACGGCTCACTAGGCTAATCCTCCGCCTTGTGGTGCCGGCACACCGGGTTCTAGTCCTGGTCGGGGCACCGGATTCTGTCCCAGTTGTCCCTCTTCCAGGCCAGCTCTCTGCTGTGGCCCGGGAGGGCAGTGGAGGATGGCCCAAGTGCTTGGGCCCTGCACCCCATGGGAGACCAGGAGAACTACCTGGCTCCTGGCTTCGGATCAGCGCGGTGCGCCGGCCGCAGCACACCAGCCGCGGCGGCTATTGGAGGGTGAACCAACGGCAAAGGAAGACCTTTCTCTCTGTCTCTCTCTCTCACTGTCCACTCTGCCTGTCCCAAAAAAAAAATTATTTATTTGAAAGAGAGAGACAGAGAGGCAGAGAGAAAGAGAGATCATCCATCCACTGGTTCACTCCCCAAGTGGCTGCCCAAGTACTTGAGGAATCTTTGGCTGCTTTCCCAAGTGCTCTATCAGGGAGCTGAACTGTGAGTGGAGCATTCAGGTCGTGAACCAGTACCCATATGGGATGCTGGCATCACAGGTGGAGGCTTAATCTGTTCTGCCGCAATGCTGGCCCCTACTCTCTGCATTTTAAAGCAGGTGCAACAGCAATACAGCTGTCTCTTAAGGCCACCCATACTGTTTGCCCTGGGCACCTCTACCAACTCCGCCATTGTGATGACAGAATGCACATTGCTTCTTGAATGTGACATCTTTCAGATACTTGGTGGCTTTTTGGATATGCATAGCCTTGATGGCCTGGGCAGCTTCTCTGGTGTTCTTAAAGCCAGCATGAAGATTTGAACTTTTTTATTTGCATGATTTCGTGGGGTTTTCTGGGTCAAGTTATCACAGGAGAAAAGGCCCTGGAAGCCATGGGGTTGATGCAAAAAAGAATTCAGGCATGAAACAGAGAGCGAAGTGATAAGGCTTTATTGGGGATAGGGCATCTATCAGAACGGAAGGGACTGGGGGAGAGCGAGGTTACATGAAGGGAGAGAGTACACCTGGCAAAGAGCAGAGGACTGAGCGCACAGTCTGTTTGGACTCCCTAGGTTTCTAAGGGAGTCTGTTTACCCACCACCCCTCTCCTCCAGGACAAAGGATGGGGAGTCCTAACAGAAGGGTTCCTTGGGTAAAAATTAGCAAATTCCTCCCCAGATTTGCTGGGGCCAGGCTAGCAGAGGGTCTTCCCTTAGGGCGTCTGTGAAGGTTTTATTGCCCCATGTTCTCAGGTCAGGGAACCCATTTAGCCCTGAGAGAGAATTCTCCTGGGAGCACCTGGAGGTATCAGGGTCTGGGCAGGACTTTGAAGTGCAAGGTGCTGGGCTTCTGGGGCTTCCACAATGCTGGTCTTCAAGCCTTGCTTACACACACACATGCTAAATTTCTGACTTCCTACCTAACAAAGTGACTAGCAAGTTATTTTCATAGCACACCTAAGGCCACTTATAGGCAGGACCAACATTTAATTGTCTAGGGAGCCTGAGGGGACATAGAACCCTTACACATATTAACACAAAATCTGCATTGGCCTCTTTGAAGTGGCCCAGTCACCCGCAGGGGAATCACTTGTTCTAGGCAGTGGACAGCAGAGGCACTGACTGACCCACCTACGGCTCCCTTCTCTGGCTCCACTGCCACCAAGTCAAGTTCAAGTCACCATCTTCTCTCAGCTGAACATCAGCAACAGCCGATGGTGACCTGGGTCCTCTCTTCACTCCATTCTCTGCACAATAAAGAGATCTTTGCTTTTGACA